ACACCCTCTTCCAACCAGATTGCTGCCCCAGCCCCTTCCTTTCAGAATTCTAAAGGCCCACTGACAACAGAAACAAGGCAGATGAACGGCCCATTAGCCACAACTGTCCCATCACCTATGCTGAGCTCCCCTGCAGGTGTCGCCACTGTCGGAGGCCCTCCCACGGCTGCGGTCCCCACTTCTACCCACACCTCAGGGTGCTGAGGGGGCCTTTCCAGAACCTCCCAGTCACACTCTGCTAAGGCTCTCTGCCTGGCCCATGCAGATGCCAGGCCTCGTCCATGACCTCCCCAAGCCAGGAGGGCACAGGTTGACCTAGGACAGGTCTTGGCAAGTGAGATGTGCAGGACGGTGAATGTACAGCTTAAGCATCGTGAAAGAGTCTGATGACTCAGGTAGCGATTTCTGGAGCCAACATGGTCAATGTAGGAAGGATTTGTGGCTGAGGGTGGTCAGGATCAGCTCTGGGGCAGAATGGGATAGAAATGTACCTCAAGGCCAGCCTCTACTGGGCTCAGGGAGTCCAGAGGCCATGTGGAACAAAGAGGCTTGAGATCCAAGAGTGCCGCAAACCAGACTGCCTGTGAATCTGGAGCGCCAGAAGGGCGGGGGAGCGCCATCTGGTGGCTCACTGTGGGAATGCCCACAGAGGAGAGTGACCTCAGTAACTGAGTATGTCACTGAGTGCTTGCTCTGTGCCCGGCAACCAATGTTACCCAACGCCCAGGACCACAGGAGGCACCATTCTCACATAATCCAAAGTCAAGCTGCCCCTTGGAGTTAAGTGGTCCTAACTGTCCCAGCTGTTGAGATACCCACACCCAGTGATAAAGAGGGCCACCCTTGAGCTGGCTCTTGAGTAGTATGGAGGTGGGGAGAAAGGGCCTTCTGGACAAAGGGCATGTGCCCTGGACAAAGTCTATAGAGGTGCTTGGCACTTCGGGTCTGACTAGGGAATAAGTGCATGGGGAGAGGTGGGAGATGAGGATGAAAGGGGTGGGGGGAATAGCTGGGGAAGGGCCTCAGAGTCACGCTAGGAAGTTTGGGCTTCATCCTGGACTAGGCATTTTAAATGCAAGCAGTTTGCCTAGTTGGTGTGGTTTAGTGGATTGAGTGTCAGCCAGCGAACCAAAAGGTCACCAGTTCAATTCCCTGTCAGGGCACATGTCTGGGTTGTGGGCCAGGTCCCCAGTTACAGATGTAGGAGAGGCAACTAATTCATGTTCCTCTCCCTTTCTTTCTCTCCCTCCCTTCCCCTCTCTCTGAATATAATTAAATAAAATATTTAAATGTAAGCATTCTGCAGATGTTTATTGTTAGGCCAGAAGAGTGTTTTAAGAAATTTTAAGTTGGAACACCTTCAAGAAGAGAGTAACTCACACCAGACACCACTACTCCCTGTAGTCTGTAATTACCCCCACCTCCACCCAGCTGCATCACTGCCCAGCCCCTGAAGCATGTGGGCTTATGACCCCGCCAGGTCATGGGGTGCTGTTCCAGATGGCACACCTAGGGACTGGCAGAAAAGAGAGGCCTGCCTGCCAGTGGCAGGAGGTATGTGACATCGGCCTCCATTCCTTCTCCCTGGACGATCTGGGGAGCGAGATTCCTCCCACTCACCACACAGTCATCATCTATATAATGACACAAGGTGCTCAGGCTCCCAAGGAAAGGTTCCTCTGTGGCCCTGGACAAGTACTGCAGGGTCCGCTGTCCTATTCTTGCTTCTGATCAACATTCTCTGGGCTGCTCTCTATTTCAAGGATTGCTTCCTCCTCCCTAGCCCAGGACTCCATTCTCTGTGAATCTGTCTTCTCCTAAGGAAGTTCTGGTTGTTTTAGAGGGAGTACAGACTTCTCCCTCACAGGGCTACAGGGAAACCAAGGAACTCAAACCACCAGGCTGCACTCCGCCATAAGCAGATTCCAGGAACATGAGGCCCAGGTGGTGCCTACTTTGCTAAGACCAGACCTCAGGAAGCAGAAAGGCGCTCTCTGGTGGCCATTTCTGGAGTGGCAGCAGAGAACTGCAACACATTTTACATTTGGCTCTGGCACTCTGTTCCATGACCTTGAGCAAAGCAGAAGAAAACCCGGATAGTAATGTAAGGGCCACACCAGATCCGAAACAAACTCAACATAGCTCCTTTTCTCTGGCCTCAGCTGAGCTTCCCCGCTGTTCTCCAAACAGGTGGCACATTCCCCTCTAATGTTACTCCTCTGTCTGAATTGCCTACCCTGCCTCCAGCAGAAGCCTGCTCACCCTTGGAGACAGGCATCAAAGGTGATCTCTTCTGTGTTCCAGTGTAGCCAATGGCTCCCTCCTGTGCTCTCCCAGCCTGGGCCAAACTGGTCCTGCAGTCGTGGCTATGTGGGGCAAGCTTTGCTTCCGTTACTGTCTCATACACCAGGTGTGTGCTGCTTGAGGAATTCCTTCCTTCATCTGGTATTGGAGTGACCCTACGGGTCAAGGACCACAAACGACAATAGGAGGAATGAGATGCCAAGTGTTCATTGGTGTGCCCTCCTTGATTCAACCACTAGGGGACAGAGAAGGTTAGGTTGTGGTCCTGTTCCTGAGCCCCGTAAATCCACCAGCACATGGGTCCTGGGAGTGGAGGATCTTTTATGAGTTCTTGACAACCATCTGTTCACAGTTCTTGCAACGCTTCCTCCTGCTTTGACTCAACTTCAGAGTTAAGTTTTAGGCTCTCAGAACATTCCTTATTATCCAGAGAGCTTCGTTCCCAGCAGATTCTTGAACTCTGTTCTAACAACCCTTGTTCAGCGCTCTGCAACTTGTTTCCAAAGAACTGCCCTTTAAGCTTGAGAAGAGTTTAGGGTAGCAAAAGTAGATACAATGTCCCTAGACAAGATGTAAAAAGACTCTCAGAAGAGGGTGTCAGAGAAGCCCCCAGGGTGTCAGGGGGTCTCCTATGGGTCTGTTGTTCTTTCCAAACTGCCTTTCCACCCACACTCACGTACTTATATTGGGCAGCTCTTAACTCGTGGCTGATCTGAGCAGGTCAAGTCCGTTACGTGTCCTCAACACAGACACACGGGTGCATCACATCACCTTTACCGCTGACCGTTAGGAGAACGACAGGAAGGCTCTCCTCTTGGAAAGCAGGTCTGGGCCCTGTGGTCACTCCCCATGCTGCTCTAAGAAGACAAGATGCCACAGGGCTCAGACACTTTCTTAACTAAGGATTTTTATTTAAAGGTTGTAACATTTCCTGGCAAAGTTGTGCTTCCTGGTCCTTGCAATCCTCCCCCAGCCAACATTCTTTTCCTTTCTTTTGTATCTCATTGCATTTCATATATTTTTAAAAGTCCCCTTAAATCTCTTATGGTGCAAGGTTAAGTATATGCATACATACATATGTGTTGGGTTGGACAAGAAGTAAGTATGGATTTTTCCATAAAATAGACACATTCTTCATTTTCCCCAATAACTTTATTGATTGGATATTTTGAGTACGTCAGCTATCTCCCAGGTGGTAGAATGTTGATTGTTCTCAGCTACTGACTCAACTTGATTGCCATCAGCTTCAACAGGTCTATTCAACCATGGAGCATCGTCCAGTGAGAAATCTCCAGCACAAAACTTTGCAAACCACTTTTAACAGGTTTGATCAGTCACAGCACCTTCTCCACACACTGCACAGATCATTTTTTGCGTTTCTGTTGAGTTTTTACCTTTCTTGAAATAATAAAGCATAATACACCAAAAATATTGTTTATTTTCTTCTATCTTCAATATTAAAATGGCTACATAAAAATTCACCAATTTTTACAAGTTTTTGTTTAATGCACACTGATATTGTTACAGAAGAAACTCTCAGAAACTTGATTCTTCTCACCAGTGTAGTAAAGAATTAGAGAACAGCGAGTGTATTAGTGTGCCAGCAGGGTTTATTGGTGGTGATCTGTTCTCATGGATGAGAATGGACCTAGCTAAAGTAGGATGGGAAGACTGAAAAGCACAGACTGAGGGTGAAACAGGGTAGGGGCAGCCAAAGGGCTGCCAAAGGCCAGGATGCCAAGCACAGGGGTGGTGAAGGCCAGGGTGGCCAGCTCACACAGCCAGAGGCCAGGTGGCCTGAGGCCAGAGGGCCTGGCCAAGTGGCCAGAGCCAAAAGCACCAAGCCCCAGATCCTTTGTCCTGAGGATTTATATAGTTGGGGGGAGGGGGGGGCCATGAAGAAGTTACATATTGATTGACAGGTAAAGGTCGGGTTGGCTTTCCAGGACAGGTAGTGAATACCCAGAGGTATTTATGGACTTCTGCCTTCAGGAACTATGGGCCCTTTCCGGTCTTTCAGGCCCTGGGATGAAAGCACAGTTTCAAAGGCTTTCTTTCCCAGATAGTGGAAGAGATACAAAGAATTTCAAGGACTGCTGAGTCAGTGGGTGAGACATGCATCCCCCCTCCTCCTCCTCCTTGCCTTTGTTTGCTATCTACCCTTCCTAGCAATATGACAACTGCCACAACACAATCTAACAAAGTTGTTTCAATTGAAGTTAAAAGAAAACTAAGCACTACTAGAGCCATCATATGGGAAAAAAAAACAAAGGAACTTTTTAGCCAATCCAGTATTTGTACTTAGAGGTTGGCAAATAAGAGGTCTGTGTAAATCATGAATGATTAGTGAGGGAATGAAATTTCTAGGTTGAAATAGGTTGAACAGGAGAGAGAGTCAGATGAGTCAGGAGACTATTGTTCAGGTCACTGAGTTGGAGAAACAGAATCAACAGTCAAGACATGAGGCCAGTGTTGGTGTTCAAAGGGCACTTCAGCCAGGAGATAATGGCAAGCACCCTTGATCAATGAAACACCCTTGGAAAGGGGGATACCGTGTCAGCTAAGAACACAGAACCCTAAGGGGATAGCAAACCACTATAAAAGGAAGGAAGGAGGGAAGGAAGGAAGGAAAAGAGAGAGAGAGAAAAAGGAAAGAAAGGAAGGAAAGGAAAGGGAGAGGAAGGAAGGAAAACAGGGTGCTTGCTTCGGGAGTACATATACTAAAATTGGAAAGATACAGAGATTAGCATGGCTCCTACGCAAGGATTACACGCAAATTCGTGAAGCATTCCATATTTTTATGGTACATTTACATGATGGAATACTACACAGCAGAGAGAAAGAAGGAGCTCTCATCCTTTGCGACAGCAGGGATGGAATTCGAGAGCATTATGCTAAGTGAAATAAGCCAGACAGTGAAAGACAAATACCATATGATCTCACCGTTAACAGGAACCTAATCAACAAAAGAAAAAAGCAAGCACAATATAACCAGAGACACTGAAATTAAGAACAATCTGACAGTAACCAGAGAGGAGGGGGAGGGGACAGTGGGGGGGAGGGCTTTCAGGAACTACTATAAAGGACACATGGACAAAACCAAGGGGTGGGGGTGGAAGCAAGGGAGGGAGGTGGGTTTGGCTGGGGTGGGGGGACTTTTGGAGGGAAAATGCAGACAACTGTAATTGAACAATAATAAAATAATTTTTAAAAAAGAAAGGAAAACAGGTAGAGAGGAAGGAAAGAGAAAAGAAGCCAGGCTGGTCCAAAGTCCAAGGTCCAGCATCTCTTCAACTCACCCACATTAAAAAATCTAAATGCCCAAGCAATTGCCTGTATAATAATAGTGTTTTTGAATAAACATTTTTATAAATATTGTTTTGCATTGAAAATACAGTGTAGGAATATTTTAATAATAAAAACCAGATTCCAATTTTTAAAATATGCTTCTGCCATCAAATTTGTCAGCAAAATGAATCAAGAAAAATACTAAAATAAAAATGTTATGTAAGCAAAACCAGCCAACAAAAAAATAAAACCTGATCTTTTTTTTTAGAGCTGCACACTGGCACATGTAGCAATGAACTGATATCTTGGATTTGCTTTAAACTACTTTCCCTGAGGCTGAAAGAAGAAAAATTAAAAGGTGGGTCTGAACTAATGAAACAGATGTGGAGAAAATGCCCATATGCTGTAACGAAGGAGGTCTAGTCCAGGGATCTCAACTCTTGTTCGGGTAAGTCGAAAAATCCACAAGGAGGACTGGGCAGCACAGACACAGCCTTTATTACTCTCACACAACAGGGAGTGCAGGCGGCAGTGGGTAGAGAAGCAGGACCCAGCCCCTCTGTGTCCCAGCCTTGAGTTAGGGGGTCCCAGACAAAGGAGGCATGTGTCCTGAGCATGACTACAAACTGCATTACCTCAGCGTAAAGGAAAGGTCAAGAAGCAATCACAGGATAGGAAACCACTCCCAAAAGGTGATAAGGAGGAAGTTACAATCCATTTCCAAAACAATACACATACCTTCTGGCCAGGGGCCCCAATCCACCCTCAGTTGTGGGAGGGAGGTGGGCCATGTCCATTGACCCCATACTGTGCATCGAGTCTGAGCAATGGGTATATAAGAATCCTTCTTCTATTGTCTGTATTTTTAAATATATTTTAATGTTTTCATCTGAAAATATGAAGACTGCGCTGACTGAGCCACTAGTGTGGCTCAGTTGGTTGGGCATCATCTTACAAAGTGAAAGATCGTTGGTTTGATTCCCAGTCAGGGCACATGCCTGGGTTGTGGGTATAGGCACATACAAGAGGCAACCAATCGATGTTTCTCTCTCACATTGATGTTTCTCTCCCTTTTTTCCTCCCTTCCCTGTCTCTAAAGATAAATAAATAAAATCTTTAAAATAAAATTTAAAATAATAAAATGTTTTTTAAAGATTTTACTTATTTATTTTTTAGAGAGGGGAAGGAAAGGAGAGAAATATCAATCTGTGGTTGCCTCTTGTGCACCCCCTACTGGGATGTGCCCACAACCCAGGCACGTGCCCTGACCAGGAATCAAGCCAGCAACCTTTTGATTCGCAGGCCGACACTCAACCACTGAGCCACACCAGCCAGAGCTAAAATGTTTTAAATAAATAAATAAAAATATGAAGACTTCCCAGTTTTGGCTACAACATATAAACCACTTAGAAGCTATCACTTCCATCCTCACAACAAAAAAAAAAGTCTAACGAACTGCACATGAACAGCTACTCTTAGACCAGTCAGAAATTGAAGTGGCAGGGCAGGGCTCCCAGATGGAAACTGGAGGGAGGAGAATAAAGTCCATCAATGCCAAGATCAGCTCGTTGGAGCAGATGCTGCTGGAGCCATAAAGTGGTATGAACACTTGTCAATCATTTTGACAAATGGCTGGAAGCTAAGTGTGGACTAGTTGACAGTGAGAAACCCCTAAGGGGTTTAGTCTTAGGGCCCTTCCCCAACTTTCTTTGGTTTGTACCACTAGGAAGCCCATCCAGTTCTCACAGTAAAGATACCAAAAAAAACCAACCACCACCTCATATTTCAGATAGGGGGAGGGGAAATATAACCATTTTGAAATATGCCCAAAGTGTGCTCCATTACAGAAGCCTACCCACTAACTTGGGGGGAAGGGGACAGGGGACATTACATGACCCCAGCCTCCTCAAGCCTTCCCGTCTCAAGTAAAGTTTGTTTTTAAAGGCAAGGAAGCACCTCTGAAAGGCACAGCCCACAGACTCAGACCCACTAAAAAACTGAGGTTCGATCAACAGAGTACAGAATGCTTTCCTCCCCAACACCTTACCACCACTCCAACTGCATTCCAGGGTGACGACAGCGGATTCTAACCGAGATGGCTGAGATAGACAGGCTCTGCTGCAGGAGGAATTCTTGGAGGCAGAAGCAACTTAAATGTCCATCAGTGGATGAGTGGACACAGAAAAATGTGGTATATGCATACAATGGAATTCTACCAATCTATCCTTCAAAAAGAAGGGATTCCTGTCATGTAACACGACATGGATAAACCTTGAGAATATTGTGTTAAATAAAATAAGCCCACCACAAAAGACAAATATCATATGACTTGACTCACATGCAGTACCGAAAGCAGTCAAACGCACAGAAACACGAAGTTAGTGTTGGTCACCCGGGCTCGGAGGGAATGGGAGGCTCGGCAGGTGCAGAATGTCCGTCACTCTGAAGGGGAGGCTCTGGGGTCAGCCGCACAACAGTGTGCGTGTGGTTGACAACACTGTATAGTTGGAAATTGCTGGGAGGGTGAATTTTATATTCTGTGGGATTTTGCCACAATATTTTCTTTTCAAGAGTCCTCGGGAGATCGTAAAAGCTGGCGTTCGTGCTGCCTGTCCCCACCAGAGCCAATAAGCAGAGACAGGGACTGAATCTTCACAGGCGCTTTATTCAGACGGCCAGCCATCTGAGAAGACGGCGGGTTACGCGCCCTAACAGACCAACTTACATTACATTTCGGACTGACCTTTTTATAAGGAGAAGGGAAGTGCAGCTAAGGGGTTTGGAGTTCAGGGTGAAGGTTAACCAGATAAAAAGCTGTATGGTTCTCTCATCTGTTGGCCTATGTGACTCTATCTTCGTCCTGGGCGGTGGGCGTCTTGCCCTGGAGCACAGCGGCTCAGACACCGTCTGGATTGCTGGCAGCCCTCCTGAGGCCGAGTCAGGGTGGGTCACACCTTCCGCTCCTGAAACAGTAGCTTTTTACCTACGTTGATTACCAAGCTTATTGATTGACTATTACCGAGAACTAAAATTCTCCAGCTCTCAAGTCCACCATCACTTGGAGAAACCTAAAGACAGGGAACAAAAAAAGAAAATGAGGAAATATTGAAACCTCTTGCACCTGCAGCCATAGTACACATTAAACACAGCCCGGCTACATCTGGCCAGATTAACATAAAAATGTTCACTAAACACTTAATTACCTCAGTTGCTATCACCAATACATCATGTTCAGCTTTTGACAAAAAATTATGAGATGTAGTCGACATAAGAAACATCCATTCCTGTAAGAATTTTTATGAGTTTATTTGAGCCAAACTGACAACAATTGCCAGGAAGCAAAATCCCAGTAGACTGAGAAAACGCTCCAGAGAACTGCAGTTTTGTACCTTATTTTATACATCAGAATCAAGGAGAATATGTAAGGGAGTTACACGAAACCCACTAGCGACAGATGAGAGAGGCAGGAGAACGTAAAGCAGGGAAATCTGAGACTGGATAAAAATCAAACTGAATAGACACATGCTTCTTTTACATTTGTGGGTGTAGGATAGTTAACCCTTAACAATTAACACAATAACAATAACAATGAGGGGTTTTGTGGTCTCCACTCTGGTGCAGTGAGGGATGTGGGAAAAGGAAATTACCCTGACATTTCAAAGGTATGTTATTTTAGATGCAGGAAGACAATAGACATGCTCAGTTAAGATAAAGGTTGAATTTTGTCAAGGAAGACAGTAGCCTAGCACACGACTACCTCCATTGTCACAGGAGGGCACAGGTAACCAGGTTCTTAGTGATCAGGACAAAGAATTGAACCGAACAGCTAGAGTTTATAGAAGAGAACATGGGAGCAGGCCAACTCCAAGCATAGATTGACCTCATGGGCTGGAGGGACTCTATTCTTATAGGGCGGATCCTTCCTGGCTAGTTTTAGTGGGTTTTTACTGAGTGTATACAAGTAGTTGCATTACTTTAAAGCTACTGCACATGTGGTTTCCCATGATCCTCCCCGATTGGCCACCAGGGAAGAGGGTCCCACAATGCTACCGAATTGATCCCTGTTTCTCCTGGGGTCCCCCTGTACTAGGTTCACCTTTCCCTAAGCCAGAGAATTATAGCTCTCCATGCTAGAGATTGGTGAAAAGGAAAGGAATTATTTATTCAAGTTATACAGACTAAAAGTAATGACTTAATGTCTTTGTCAAAATCCCAAAGTCCCCTGAAACACCCACAAACACACACAGTCCTTCCTTCCACCCTTTGCCCAGTCTGAAGTACCGTATCTCAGGAGAAGAAATAGAAGTCTGTGGCTTAGGCAGCTCTCAGTTTTTCCTAGTAATTTGTGCTCAGCTGGCAGGCCTTCCTTAGTTCCCAGCACCATTGGTTGTGTTGCCAGGATCTCCAGCTAAAGCCGTGTGGTGATTCTTCCCATGGCTGGGGAGGGGGGAATAATCCCCCTTTCTGGGAGAGCAATGGCAGCAACAGCAGCACCGAGTGGGCTAGCACGGAGCTCATCATGTCCTGGCCAGAGCAGGTGGCTGCAAGGTTGGCTAAGCCCAAGCGGTGAGAACTCGGGCGCAGCATGCGGAGGCCTGGCGGTGGCTGCAGCGGCCGGGCAGTGACCTGGTACTCCCGAGTCACTTACTGGTGGCCCCTTCTCGAGGCCTCTCCTGCAGAGCTGGCTGGGGCTTGGAGCAGGGCAGTAGAGGAGCCGCAGGCGGCTTCATCGTGGATGGTGTCTGCAGGAGTCCCCACTCTGCTAAAGCCGCATGGTTCTCTCTCGTCAGTGGTGCTGTCCTCCCTGCACTGCCACAGCTGTATGGTTCTCTCTCAATGGCTGCCACGTCTGGGTTTAAATCCCCGTGCCAATCTTCCTCTGCAGCCCCATTTCCGACTCCTCTTACAGTCAGCCTCACATGCCAGAACTCATATCCTTCCAGCTTTACTGGGCTGCCATTATGAGTCTGGGCAGGCGTGGCCCCATGTCATGGAGCCAATCTTCTCTGAGCTCCCACACAGGCGCTGTAACTTGGGGGACCTGCCCCCCAGTTACATCTTGGTGGGGAAGTTACTTCCATTCCCCTGGCTCAGAGCTGGTCACAGCTATTTAACATATCTATGCAACCAGTTAAAGGTTATAGATATGTTAAATGACCATGCCAGAGGTTAGCTGCAAGGCTGTTGCTATTCGAAACAGCTCTCAATGGTCCTGCTCCATTTGTCCCTTCCCCTGGGGTGGAGGGTGAGGACATTCTATATATTTTTCTAATGTTTCCTGGACACCTTGAGTTCTGAACTCCATTACAAATCCTTCTTTTGGGGACCCTTTGGCTGCACCCTCCTACACCATGACTCACTTTTAGTTAGAAAGTTTTAATTTCAGCCCTAGCTGGTGTGGCTCAGTGGATTGAGCAGAGCAGGCCTGAGAACTGAATGTTCACCAGTTCGATTCCCAGTCAGGGTACATGCCCGGGTTGCAGGCCAGGTCTCCAGTTGGGGGCGTGCAAGAGGCAATCAATTGATGTTTCTCTCATACATTGATGTTTCTCTCCCTTTCTTTCTCCCTCCCTTCCCCCTCTCTAAAAGTAAATAAATTTTTTAAAAAGAAATAGAAAGTTTTCATTTTAGACCATCCTATGTGGTTACTTTAGGTCTCTGAATTTGTAAGACTCACCATGCAGGCCTCCCCTGAGCTTCTCAGGTTTAGTATGTGGCCTCTTTTCTATCCACAGCATGCTAAGAAAAAAATTCTTTTTCCTCCCCCAAGGTCATTCTTTCATTGCTTCTAAAAAGGAAGGAAAAGAGGAAGGGAGAGAGAGAAATATTGACGCAAGAGAGAAACATCAATTGGCTGTCTCCAATATGTACCCAGACCAGGGACTGAAACCTCAATCTAGGTATGTGCCCTGACCAGGAATCAAACCAGCAACACTTGGTTGCAGCACAATGCTCCAACTGATAAGAGAGATCTGATCAAATCACTGGGGATTGATAGGGAGGGGCCTTAGGAGGACTTTGCCAAGGCAATGGTAAACAGCCTCGGACAGGACTGGCTGAGAAGCTGAATGCCTGCAGAGCACATGGAATCATGAGTAAGAAGGTTTGAAATTAAAAAAGAGCTCTTGGGCTCTCTATCTGGCTCTCTTCCATGAGGATGCCTGGAAGATTGTGCTGCAGCTGCCTGCATTCCCCAATGGATGGTATTTTGGATGGGGAGGAACTCCAGGTGCAGTTTAGGATGGGCTGGCCTGGCGGAGGCCAGAGGGTGGCAGAGTTATTCTTCTTTGGGTGTTCTAGACTGGACGAGCTCCAAGACAGAAGCTTGCCATTCTTCCAAAATCATGTATCTTTTTATCTTACATTGTTTTATTTTGTAAACTAAACCTATAGGAATAAGATAATCAAAACTAGCGGGGGGGTGCAGCGGAGCAGGGAAATGCTAGGAGAACTCAGGTGTTAAAGAGTTCAGCCTTAATGGATGGGCTCAATGACTAATGCAGGTGGAAAGCCGTTATTGCAAAACTGTGAAGCTTTTCCAATAAAGGCACCTTTCCTTTATCACCAAACCGTTGCCTCTGTAATTTTGCCTACAAGTCGGCACAGGCAGCAGGACTCCAACTGCTGTTCAGTAACACAACCAACTGAGCCACACTGCCAGGGAGAAAAAATTTTTTAAATAGTCTAAAGAGATAAAACAAAACAGATTCAGACAGGACACAGATTTTCCGAAGCCTTGCCAGGGCAAGCACTAGCCTAGCTGCCGTCGAAGCACTGTGACTCATGGGCCCTCTGCTCGGCCTCAGGGATAAATTTGGTTACAGATACCAAGCTAATAAAAAATATATAAAATAATAATAATTATTATCTAATATGTTAAGGGTTCTAACGGAAAAAAAAAACACAACAGTCCTGGCTGGTGTGGCTCAGTGGATTGAGCACTGACCTGTGAACCAAAGGGTTGCCAGTTAGATTCCCAGTCAGGGCACATGCCTGGGTTGCAGGCAAGGTCCACAGCAGGGGGCGCATGAGAGGCAAACACAAGTTGATGTTTTTCTCCCTCTTTCTCCCTCCCTTCCCCTCTCTAAAAATAAATAAAAATCTTTTTTTAAAAAGTACACAACAGGCAAGAACCTATGAATAATGTAAGCGGAGAGGTGGAAAGACTCAAAAAGAAATGCTAGAAATCAAAAACACCAGAACAGAAATAAAGAATTCTATGCCTTTGATAGCTATATCACTAGATTAGACATGGCCAAGTGAGCTTCGAGACATATTAATAGAAACTTTCCAAACTGAAAGGCAAAAGAATGAAAAAAACCGACTGTGAGTGAGGCAGGCTAATAAGCCAGGGCAAACGGAATAGGGAGACGTAAGAAATCGCCAAGGAGTTTACAGCCACCTAGTAAATCGCAAAATCCTATCTTCCATAACCAAGGACACTTAAGAGTAAATGGTTTATACTTCTCCCCAGCCAAAGGGTAAATAGCTTAAATCACCCCACTCCAGGATACAGATAACAGAAATCCAGTTAGTGCCATTGGTGCCAGCCACACCCAAAGACAGATTAAGTCAGGGGAATAAACCTCATTTTGCCATGGGAGCAAAAAAGCTGATGAATATTCTACTGAGATCCTCCCCGAGACCTCTCCCAAATCCCCAGCCTCTGAAACCCTCCAGATGAAGGACCCAGGGCACACTCCCACTCCCAGCAGCGAGCCTACACCTTTCCTCCCTCTCAAGTGTGCATCTCCTGAACTCTAAGGGTCCCAACCAGACTTGCAACCAGGGGAACAGTAGGCAGCAGCAGCTCGTCCCAGGCTGAGCCCCTAAACCTGTCTCCAAGGCCCGTTTTCTCTGAGTTTCCAGTGAGTCAAAGAAGCCCGCCTAGGCTCTCTCCTGTCATTTCTTTTATCCTAAGCTCATCCTTGTTTCACTGTCCCCAGCTTTAATAAACGTCCTCTCAAAATCACCTGGACTCATGCTGTAAAATCTTTCCTGCATGAAGTGGAGAACCCACACACTACAGGCTGGCCTGAGGCAGACCTGCTCTGGCCAGATCCCCTTTCCAGTAATATGAGTACCGTGGGACGCTTTCAACAGATGTAACATGCACATAATGGGAATGCCAGAAAAGAGAGTAGACAACTATTTAAAGTTACCAAGGCTGAGAACTTTCCAAAATTAATGAAGCACAAAACCATACATCCAGGAAGCTTTGAAAACACCAATCACGATACCAAAAATATCTACACCTAGTCATATATTCAAATCGCAGAAAACAAAAGTCAAAGAGAAAAATCTTGAAGGAAGACGGAGTAGAAAAATACCTTAACCTATAGAAGAACAAGGGTAAGAATACGTCTAACTTCTCATCAAAAACCAAGTGAACAAGAAGAGAATGGAGTGAAATATGTAGCATTGGAAGGGGAAACCACCAACCTAGAAGTCTGTGTTGTTAAAGTGCAAACAGCAGGCCCAAAACGTGCAGTGCTCACAGTACCAAGTCTGGATTTAACACCTGATCTAACTGCAGTTTCAACCTCTCCCACAACCCCAGTCAGTCTGCAGTGCCTGGTCAAGCACCAGTGAAGCGATGTTCTGTGGACATCGCTACACTCCACAGAAAAAAGAGGCAGTCTGCATGATAAACACCCTCCCAGTCCCTTCCCTCCAGAACAAGATGTCACAGCCCAAAAATAATACTGTCTTTTGTTTTGTTAAGACTCCCTTGCCCCACCCTTCCTTCCATAAACCTCTTATTGTGTGGGACCCCTCGGAGTGCCCTTTAGTTGCTAGAGGGGATGCTGCTCAGGTCATGAAATGCTTAGTGAAATCAATTACATCTTTAATTTTACTTGGTCGAATTTTTTTTAACAGTATCCAATGAAATTATGCTTTAAAAGTAAAAAATAAATAAATAAATATTTCTCAGGCAAAACCTGAAAAAATCTGCCATTCATATAACCTAACATATTACTGATAGTTATTATTTATATTTTAACAAGAAATGTTAAAGGATGTTCTTCAAAAAGAAGGAAAATCATATAAATCAGAAAATCAGATCTAGATAAAGGAGTGTTAGAAAAGGAATAAATGATGACAAAACAAAATCTTTTATTTTTTATTTATTTATTTTAGTTCTCCAGTTACTTTTCTTATTCTTAATTGATCTAATAGATAATTATTCAAAGTTATAACAGCAACAATGTATTTGACAATTATAAGGTATGGATAAGCAAAATGAATGACAGGAATGTCATAAGGCATAAGAGAGAAGAATCAGGAACACTTTGTTATAAGGTATCTACATTACCTGTAATACTCAAGAAGTAGTGTACTGTTAGTTAAAAGTAGACTTACTTAGCTCTGGCTGGTGTGGCTCAGTGGACTGAGTGCTGGCCTGTAAACCAAAGGGTCACCAGTTCAATTCCAAGTCAGGGCACATGCCTGAGTGGTGGGCCAGGTCCCCAGTAGAGGGTGAGTGAGAGGCAACCACACATTGATGTTTCTTTACCTCTCTTCCTCTTCCCCTTCCCCTCTGTCTAAAAATAAATAAATAAAATATTTAAAAAATAAAGAACTGAGCCCTTGCTGGCGTAGCTCAGAGGATTGAGCGCGGGCTGCGAACCAAAGTGTCGCAGGTTCGATTCCCAGTCAGGGTACATGCCTGGGTTGCAGGCCATGACCCCCAGCAACCACACATTAATGTTTTTCTCTCTCTCTCTCTCTTTCTCCCTCCCTTCCCTCTCTAAAAATAAATAAATAAAATCTTTTAAAAAATGGTTACAATGACAAATTTAAAAAAAAATAAAAATAAAGAACTGTAATTAATATGCAGGGAGAAAAATTAAATTTTAAAAATACTCAAAAACCAGAAAAGGCAGAAAAATCTGCAGAGATAAACAAAAAGCTGCAGGAAGTCAAACAGCAGGTACTTACTTGTGATAGGGGACTCAAGAGTTGGAAAATTTTAGTTTGAGTAGTAGCTAATAAGCTTAGTAATCAATGCACATAAAAGCTATTGTTCCAGGAACTGAAGGTATGACTCACCCTGACTCCAGGAGACCACAAGCAGGTCCACCTCTGTGCCTCAGGAGGACTGCAAGCAATTCAAGATGGTATCTGAGCCCTTGTGTTCCAGGGAGAGATGACCACAGCCTGGGACACAGCCAAAGACCACTGACCAGGGTGAGAATGTTGTCTTTTGTTTTTTTTAATCCAGTTAACTTTTGGATTCCAGCCCCTGATATTCCAAGCCTGAAATCCAAGCCCCTCACCTACACTTCATTCTCCTTATAAAAGGGCCATTTTGGGATGGAATTTAAGATGGTCTGTTAGGGTATGAACCCATCTTCTCAGATCGCTGGCCATCTGAATAGAGCGCCCATAAAGATTCAATCCCTGTCTCTGCTCCTTGGGTTCGGTGTGTAACAGGCAGCACGAACACCGGTCTCTTCCGGTTTCAACTGTACAATGGTGTTCGCCGCGGTCTGCATGTCATATTCACAATATTCCCACTTTGTACTCACACACGGTGGACCAACTGGGGAGTTCCATGGACAGTAACCGCATGGGGTGATCTGATCGTAACTTCCCACCCGGGCAGGTCACGGTGGGTAGTCCTGTCCCCGGCCTATAACTTCCTTAGAGAAAGGTTTTAAGCCAGCCCTGTTCATTGTTCTTGTGCATCTAAGTTAACTCGCCTTTTAAATACCGGAAGTAATACTCCTCAGAGAGGGTATTAACCCTCAAGAGAGCACAAAATATTAACTGTCCTATAATCTGATCCCTGCCTTGCTTGTCCTTCTCCCTGTAATCTTCATTCCTTCCCTCCTTAATTTCAAATGCATAAAAAAGCTGCAAAGCTATTGTTCTCTGGAGCACTCGAAGTCTTGCTCTCTGGCATATGTCATCAGTTTGGTTCAAATAAACTCTTACAAAAATTCACTACAGGTTTGGACATTTTATATGTTGACAAGTTTAATAGCACATATATCTCCTGTATATGTAACAGGGTACAGCCAGGGTCTCTCCCCAAAGAGGGGTTTGTAACTGGGTCCAGAACTTGGGGTGTCCAAGAAATATAGAAATATAGGATACCCCCACCCCCACAAGTCTGGACTGGGGAAAGGGATTTATGGAGCAGGGTCATTGACAGATATTTTGCAGGCCAGCTTTACACCTGATATGCAAAAATGGTTATTTTGTATATCAATGACAGCAGACTAGTCCTCCAGCCAGAATGGAACCCGAAGGTATCCATAACCTTGACCCAAGTCATAACAGGTCACAGCGCCTGCGTGAGAGCTTGGAGATGGTTAACTCCATGCCTCAGGGCCACAGCTGCCTGGACTTACTATGGTAACCCAGAAAGGCTGAAAATGTACAGGAGTGCTGGCAGGTGTAGCCAGTTGTGGGAGGAATTGGAAATGGGGTTACAGAGGAGGTCTTAGGCTGAGATTTAAACTAAAGGCTGGCCTCCACGAGGGATGGAGAGGCAATGCAGGAGTAGGGACAGGGGACGATACAGGACAATGAAAGAGGACAATGCGAGACCTTGCAGGGAAGGAGAGGGGTGAAAGGTCACTCACTGGTGGGCCACAAGGAGGTGGCACATGGTTTTGGATTAGGAACTGAAGATCGTGGCAGCAACACAGCCGATGGTGCTGGGGTCTGCAGAAAACCTGCCAGGCTGAGCACGGACTACTGGGAGGAACCAGGAGGAGTGAGCTGCGGACTTCTGTTCCTTTTCCTCTGGGGGACGGTACTTCTGATTGGCATGTTCCGAGACTGACTTGACTGGGCAAAGGAGGGAACAAAAGACTGT